CCCTTCCCTTCCCTTCCCTTCCCTTCCCTTCCCCATCCTCATCCCATCCTCATCCCATCCTCATCCCATCCTCATCCCTATCTGCATCCCCATCTCCACCAAATCCATCAATCTGACCCCAGATGTACTCAGAAACTTGGCATGGAGAAGTTCTGTTCCACCTCCATCCCACCCAAGGGTGAGGGTGCAGGGAGGGGGGGTCAGGGATTACTAAGGGCTGGGTGCCAGATGAGCATGTGCATATTTGGGCCCAGCTAATGATTTGTAATGGTACTCACTGCCTCCCATTTCCTGCCCCTGTAAGCTGAGAAATGATATGCAAATGTTTCACTGGATATTTTTAAACTGTTTTTACAAGGTTCTATTAATTTAGTAAAACTTCTTAAATATTCATAAACTGTTCACCAGGCACATAATCTGATGAAGGATGGAGCAGACTGGGGGTGGGATTTACTATTTTGAAGAGTCATCCTATAAATTATTCAACAGCTCTGGTTTGACCAGCTGTATTTACTATTGGTGGCCAAGAGCTCCAAAGGCTGCTGCCTCCGGACTCCAACCAGAAACATCACTGCTTCACCTTTTGGCTCAGAGTCCAAGAACAGCCAAACCCATGTGGGGGCTTCTTCTGGGTCCTTTCATCCCGATGGCAAAGCCTTTGGTTCTGCCCACCTGCCCATGTGCTGGTGGGCACATGCTCCTCTGATGTCAAAAACAAATTATGGAAGAGGAAAAAAAAATGAAGAAAGAAAATTCCATTCATTTTTTTTTTCTTTTTCCATAAGAAATGGAAGATGATGTAATTATACATCATTAGTTTCTCAGTTTATGAGAACCATGAATGAGCATCATAGGGTACCATGGTTGGGGAGCTCCCTGCTGGACACACTGCAGCAAAAATCTCCATTTAGCCAAAATATCAGTGTCCTTTCTAACAGGCAGATGGGCTCTGTCACACCACAGTGCTCCATGGAGCCCCTGTGCGTTGCAAACAATCAGTAATAATTACAGCACCTCCAGATGTTTTGTATATGCTTCAGTCTTCATTTATTTGTTTTCTGTGCCGAGTTACTGGGGATACTGGAAATGTAAATAATGAATATGTGATGAGCTGCAAGAATGGATATTGCCCTGCTTTGCTGTTCCAAAAAAGCTAATTAAGCCAAGCACGGAAATAAAAGCTTCTTGAGCCTGCTCCAGATCAGTCATAAAAGAGTACTCACAAGCAAATATTTAGGGCCAATTAGACACCAGCACACAGCAAAGACCCCGGGATTCTTGCAGATAAAACATTATTACAGCGGTGCTTTGGAGATGGGGAAACTGAGGCACCAAGCCTGGGCAGAAGCAGCAGCTGGGCAGGGCTGGAGCTGCCATAAATCCCTGCACACACTGATGTGTACATGGCCTGGTGTCCCCTGGGGCTGAAGCTGCTGTGGGATCACAGCCCGGGGGCTGTGGGTTTGATTGTATGAATTATGTGTGTGTATAGAGACGTGTTTATAGCTGTGTGCATGTGTATGTGTGTGTGTATGTATATACTGTGATGTGATGTGCGCTCTTCAGAGTTTAATGCTTTATTTAGACCGAATTAACTTGCTTCACAGCACTTTGTTTATCCATTTTAATAAATCAGTTCTTTCAGCTAAATCTCACTTTAAGAGTTGATCGTATCCAGAGCCTCGAAGAGAGCAGCAGATATAAATATTTGCTTTTACAACGGGAAAACTCTCCTGAGAATGCTTTAGCAAACGGCTGCGGCCTTGCTTAGCACAGGGGCACCAGTAATTCTCTGCGTTGTTAATCAGAAGCACAGCAGCACAAAGGTGGGGCTGCAGATAAGAGGTCCCGGAGCACTGGGGTGGAGGTGCACTGTGTGGCTCTGAGCTCCCGTGCTCCCAGATGGAGACCAAGCCTGGATGTGGCGGCTAAGGAAAGATCTTTTCTTAATATTGTAAAATAGAACGGTGGAAAATGGGAAGGCCTTTTGTAGGGTGCACGTGGCAGGTGCTCGTGGGGCTCTCTAAAGCAAAAGCATGGATGGAGATACAGAGAGCCCTTTGGCTGCAAAGCCCAGCCTGGCTAATGGGGATCCCACTGTGCAGAACTGAAATATTCCATCCGGTTCTTGAGGGAAAAAAATGTTATTATCAGGATTATCAGGTACTGGCTGTGAGCACGCTGATATTGCAGTGTGATGGCTTGCAGATGCTTTTGGAAATAGCCCCAGCTCTCTTGTGACATGTTCATGGCCCGCAGCATCCCTGACCGCCAGTTCCCCTTGTACTTGAATGAGGCCTGAATTCCTAAATCTGGGTTAAATTGTGTTTTAGGTTGTGTCTAGGATCTGGGTTGGAAATGTGTTGCTCTTCGTTGTCATGTCAGGAGGTGTGAGAAAATGGGACACACACACACACAAAGGCAGGGCACTCGAGCTTTCAAATGAAGTCGTCTGAAGTTGCTCTTAGCTAATAAGCTCCCCTGGCCGCGGAGGATGGCAAGCTAATAGGTGGTAATCTGCAGGGGAATGAGGGCAGCCTAGATTTCATAAATAGCATGATTTTATGTAAATGCAAAGAATGGGGACCTTGCTTCTTTTTTCCATCCTGAAGGAGCAAAGTTTGTCAGCTCAGGTGGCAATTCCCAGTGCCAAAGTGCAGCATGATGGCTCCGGTCTGGCTGGGTTTGGCTAAGGAGAGCAGAAGGTGGCTGCAGGGTGGCACCTCGCCTGACCAGAGCTGTGTGTGCTGTTTGCAAATACGGGCTGAGCTGTGTGCTACAGAGCTCCTGACCCTGTCCTTCCCATTGCTATGTCTCTCTGCAGAGCCTCTGCTCATCTGGTTGTAATTTATCTGCATGGCTTCAAGCCTGCATGGCTTTTGACTTCCTGAAAAATAAGGCTCGTTGTGCTGGATGCTTCTCTGCAAAGTTTGGTGGCTTTTGGGCCAACGTGCTGCCTGCATAGGGCATATTTGACTGTGGCGATGGGCCGTACTGAGCCCCCGGGCCCTCTGAGGGGAGTGGTCATTAAATTGTGGTCGAATGGAGGAAAGAAAGAACAAAAAATATCTTTTACAGAAAGAAAAAGAAGAAAAAAAAAGTTAGCAATGGACCTAAACAAACTTTTAATGCTGTTTTTAATAGCAAAGTTGACGTGGTGCCAGGATCACTCACATTCCACAGCTGTCCAGGGCTCTCTTGGCAAAGCCCCTCCACCAGCATCATCCCGGCTCCCCACCACCTGGTGCTCATCCCCACCTGCAGCTGGAGCCACGGGTTCCAAATTCTGGGAGCAGGAGAAGGCAGCAGAGCGTGTGTGAAGGCTGCTCCTAGGTGCTGGCAACCTGCATGCAGGCAGTGGGTGCACCATGGGAAGCAACCCAGCGGGGCCAGATGGTGTGGGAGCAGGATTTTACGGGCTCGTAGCTCCAGCCCTCAGGCTCAGTGGGTTTGTCAGAAATGGTTAATCATATTCTGAATAACCCCCCCAGAAAAACTACCAATTTTTCCCCCGTGGGACTGCTGGAGCCCATATGAAAAATGAAAAAGGTTTGGAAACCTGGTTTACATTTTTACTACTGGAATTTTGTACCAACTTGGTGTTTTCTTTCTTTGACAACGTGATGTGAGACCTTTGTGCTGTGCTGGCAAAGAGGGGAACACAATGAGATACTTGTTAATTTGCTGCCTGTCTGCTCTGATTTCAGTGCTGCAAACACGGTGGTTTGAAAGACACAGCCCTGCTTGTGGTGCTGAGGAGCCACTGCTCAATGAGCCCATCCATTTGTTAAGGAATTGCACAGGAAGAAGCACAGCAATCCTGATGGTCAATAAGTCTTGAATGCTCATTGGGCAACAGGCAGAATTACCCTGCTTGAGTTAATTCTCAGAGAGGCCATGGCTGGCTGGTTATACCCAAGGATTAGCTCTTTGCCATTTGCTGAGCAATGCAGAGCTTGCTGTACAAACAGACATCAGTCCTCAGGCAGCTCAGCTGTACAAGGCACTTAGGGCTGATAGGCAACACTCATCGTGCAGTTAATCAGTGACAGAGAATTAAATTGTACATATTAAAAGCCAATTATATAATAACCTGTTGTTAGCATCACACTTGTCACTGAAAGCAATGCCCCTACCCTCCTCACCAGGCCTGTTTGGGAAAACAAGTGAGGATCTGTGATCTTTCTAAGGAGAAGGCTGTTATTTATAAATTACAGGTTGAAGCCTTGCCTGGCACAATGCAGAACAGTGCAGTGGATGGCAGCTGGGTGTGCTGATTCATTCGCACCAGGTGAAGACCTGGCTTGTTTAGCACAGGGAAACCAACGGGGGCAGAAGCCCCCTGCTTTGAGAGATGGAGCTGGGGATGGGACCAAGGTGCCTTATGCTGTAACTGTAGTAAGGGCCAAGTGAAAATAAGGCCTTTGTTAATTGCTCCACGATTAACCAACATGCCTTCAGAGTAAAAACATACACCCAAGACTCTTCCCTTTGGATGAATACTTCCATTTATTCCAACTGGAAAAAAAAAAAAAAAAATAAACATTTTTTTTTTAAATATACTTAAGTGTTATCTTTTTTTTTTTTTTTCTTTTTCTTTTTCAAGGAATAATAATTATCACATTGTCCTTTACAAACAACAGAAAAAAATTCCTAGCAATATTTTGTGGCACGGAGACACTCATCTTCACAATTTTTCTGCATCTGCTGCTGCGGGTGGGCAACCCCACCTCCCCCACCAGTGCTGCTCCCGCGGTGGGGGGGAGGTGAGGCCCCACTGGAGGCAGTGGGGATACCAGGGCTGCTGCTGCGAAGCGCAGTGCCCACGCAGCATCCGTCGCCCGCGCCGCGCTTCGCTGCCTCGATGGTTGAAAGCGTACAGAGAACAACTCACGTCCACCAGAACACAACACGGCTGAGCCCTGCCGCCGGGACACGGAACGGCTTCGGGCAGCAGGGAGCAGTTTGCAGTCGGTCTCTGAAGTGTTAGGCAGTAGGCAATGCTGAGACTTCCACTTGGTAATGAACAGCAGTTAACATAACCCAGGAAACTAGAGCACCATAAGACAAGTCTATATTCAAAACAACGTCATGCTGACATCACACAATTGCACCATTTACACTTTTATTTACTCCAAAGAATAGTTCGACGTTTAGTAACTTCAGCATTCTCTACAGAGGTGTAAAATTCCTTCTCCAGCTTTGGTCATTGACAACTTTGCGGACATTTGGTAGTTCTGTTCTTTCCTATTTGACAAAAAAAGTCACTTTTGCAGCTGTCAGGATTCCTGTATTTGACTGATAGTGAACCTGAAAACCACAGGTGTGAGCAGGCTTCAAAGTGCTGCCTTGGGCTCTTCAAGATGTAATGAGTCAGAAAATGTTTTCTTTACTTACCAGGAATAAAACAAACAGCAAAAAAAAAAAAAAAAAAAAAAAAAAAAAATTAAAAAAAAATAAAACAACATAAACTTTCACTGATACACTTAAGAAATTTGATGATGAAATGAAAAGGGAGGGCCCAAAGTATTCTGTTCAGCTCTGGAGGAAAACAGCTATGGATGTGGATGATTTTTCCCAGCGACTCCTAAGATATAGAAATTCCTCTGATATTACAAAATACAAAAATATTTTCTCCAAACTCTCATTTACATCGCATTTACAACAATCATGGAAATAACTTAGGCTCCTACACTGAGAGAGACAAAGACGTACCAAAATGGCTCATGGAATACGACGATGTGGTGAGAAGCAAAAGCTACCAGTGACCAGATGGTGATAGCAAAGAGTGGTGACAGAACGTACGGGCAAAGAGAACTCAACAGGGTGGCAGCATCTGGGAGAAAGAAGAGAAACTACTTGGTAAATATTACAGGCTAAAGTGAACTTCTTTTTTTTGTGTTTCCAAGGTAAGATGTGCAAAATATATTCACCGTGCCCAGGATTATAACTATTTATAGAAGCCAGTCTACAACCTTCTTACAAACCCTTCCTCTTCGGGTCCTTTTCTTACAATAAAAGCGCTTAATGATCTAGAACAGTGCAAGTTTGTGAGTTAATCTACATTCTCCAAAGGTGCCTGGCAAGGATGCCATTAGGATATGATACAGTTTTTGCTCTTCTGTCTTTTCCGGCTGTGCAACTGTCCCCTGCCGCCCAAGGTGGAAGACTTGGGCATGCTGTAGGAGCCGTACTTGTGCAGCAGCTCCTCGCTGGTCACGTACCGCAGGCGGGCGGGTTGGGGGATCGGCTCCCCGAGGAAATAGCCCTCGTTGTCAGACTCGGAAGAGGAGGAGCACGTCGAGCACCAGTCGTACTCGGCAAAGTAGGGCCCCCACCGCTCGCCCAAGTGGTTCTGCAGGGCGAGGTCTGACACCGTCCTGGGACAGTGGCCGTAGGCATCCCTGCGGGGACCCTGCTCCAGGCTCTCTCTGCAGCTCCTCTGGTGCATGAACTGATCGTAATCCTCTCTGGCTCGCAGCGAGGGCCTCTCCTTCAGTCGGCAGCACTGCTCACTAGCCAAGTGCAGGGCGTTATCCGAGCGGGAGCGCCGGGAGCGCCGCGGCCGGTGCGGGCGGTAGTGCCGCTCATCGTCCCGCAGTGGAGTTCGCCGGCGCGTGCGCTCGCTCATGGGGGCATGCCTGGTGCCATCCTGCGCCGCCAGCTTGGCCCCGGGTGCCCCGCTGCCGTAGTCGAAGCTCTGGTGCAGGCGGCCATGTGCCGGCCGCTCGCGGTAGCCCATGGGGCTGGCCAGGTCGTGCAGGTTGGGCTCCAGGTCTTGGTACTGCTGCACCGAGAGCAGGCTGCGGACGGATTCGGCGCTGCGGAACTGCACGGAGGAGTTGAGAGTCCCCATGGTGCTCAGCTTCTCTGAGACGTTCATGCCTGAGTCTTTGCTCAGGTCGGGCATGGAGAAGCGGGAGAGGTGTTCCTGGCGCTTGGCTCCGCCGTCTGCAGAGAGGCCTTTATAGGGAAGGGGAAAGGGAGGGAAAAAAGAGAGTTCAGGAGAATTTCTTATCACCGGGGGTGCACGGAACAGGCTGTCTTTGGTCTGTACCTGCAGCCTTCTATTTTAAAAGAAACTCAGTTCTTGAGATGCTGTCCTGAAGAGCCCTTCAAGACTATTTTTTAAGAGAAGACAGATCCTCCTCTGGGGAAAGCACACCAACTTAAGGTGTTTTGAGTTGGACTCCAAGGACTGTGAGTTGTTTTTCACGACTTCCTTCTCCATATGTCTATGCTGTCTGTGGCTTGATAGGAATAACTACTGATGCCAGCAACAAACCCATGCGTCAGAGGTAACCCGAGGCCTCGTGCACGCTGAGGTAAGTAGGGTGCCATGATCCAGCACCCACTTCTTGCTCAACAAAGACATGTTTTGAAGGACTGAGCAGTGTCAGGAGCAGCCAAAAACAGGACCATCAACCAATTCAGGCATGTCACTGAGCTGCACTGTCTGGTTCCCAGGTGACACTCATGGTAGGATAGCAAGTGCAGCCTTGGCCATGTACAAGGGGCTTCCCGCAGTCCACAGAATCACACACACAGAATCACAGAATCACCCGGGTTGGAAGGGACCTCAAGGATCATGTAGTTCCAACCCCCCTGCCTAGCAGGGCCACCAAAAACACACATTCAGATCAGGTTGCCCAGGACCCCGTCCAACCTGGCCTTAAACACATCCAAGGACAGGGCATCCACAACCTCCCTGGGCAGCCCGTTCCAGGGCAAGAAGCCTTGATTCCACTACAGAGAAGTGGGGCTTCTGCCTGGCAGTATCATATGGTCAAGAAATTCAGCATGCCCCATGGTTCCATAGCCCTGGCCTTTCTTCTGGGAGTTTTATATCCCATACTTGGAAGGGTGCAAGGCCAGGCTGCATGGGGCTCTGAGCAGCCTGATCCAGCAGGAGGCTAACAGCCCACAGCAGGGGGTTGGAACTGGATGACCTTTAAGATCCCTTCCAACCTAAGCCACTCTATGATTCTGTATTTTCTGACCATTTTCTGACTATCTCCATGTTGGCTTGACAACTGAATGCTTACATTTACAAGCTCAGGACAACATATTTTGCAAGCTGTTTCAAAGGAAATTCAATTCATCCCAAATCAAATGCAGAGTGTTTGCTTTGGCACTTTGCTCCCCGTCACAATCTCCCCGTGCAGACTGAACTGGGAGTGCTGTGCTCCATCAGCAGGATTTTCAGCATGACGCACACCCCTTATGCAATCACCAAGAATTTATGACTTTGTAAATTAATTAGAAAACCCAACAACCCAACCCTCAATTCAAGAATAAACTTTCTTTTTTTTTTTTTTTTTTTTCCTTAACAAAAGCTGCTTGCATTTCATCAAGAGCTCAGCTCCTTCGGCATTAGCCATTGCAAGCCAAAAATGAGTGAGAACAAGGGCTGCTGTCACTAACCCAGCTCACAATTCACTTCAGTGCATCTTTGGGACTTGGCAGCAAGATCAGGCTGCCCAAAGTAGCTGTGAGTGCCCCATCCCTGGAAGTGCTCAAAGTGCTCAAGGCCAGGCTGGATGGGCCCTAGACAGCCTGAACTGGTGGGGGGCAACCAGCCTACAGCATGGGGTTGAAACTGGATGGTTTTTAAGATCCCTTCTAACCCAAGCCATTCTATGATTCTAAGATACTGCAAAAATGAGCAAGGTTTTCCAAAAGTTCCCAACCCAACTAAATGAAGGCAATCCCTGAATACTGCTGGAACAGGGAGAGGCAGAGCTTAGAAAAGCAAAGCCGTGCTTTGTTCAAGAAAGATGCACTTCACACCAGGTCAGTGCCTCTCAGGTAGGTTAGCCCAACCCTGCTGGCTTCTGCAGCAAGTCTCCCCCCCTCCTCTGTTTGGAAGCAGCCCCACACAATGCTTCCCATCCCCGCTGCTGCCTGATGGAACATCTGGCTTACAGCACTGGAGCTGCTGCTGCTCTGGTCCTGGTTATACTGGGATCACATTGTGCACTTCACCCAAGTCCCCTCTGTGTGAGCACCCTCACAGTGTGAGCAGAAGCCTCTTGCATGGGCACTGCTGATCCAAGCATGAATCACGGCTGCCGCCAGCTGAACCCTGCCTCAATCGGCTGTGTCAGACAATAGCTGAGGCCAAAGAAAACGAACCCATGGTGACATCTATGCAACCCTTTGTTAAAGAAACAGGAAAGCTCTGTAATGAGAAATAACGATACAGTGCTTTCCAGGATACGTTTTGGCAGCTTGAAAGGGCCTCCCCATGTCTGACACAGCACCTGTGTTCTCAGCTCCTTCAGGGCTGCACACAGTGAGAATAGCTGGGAGCATGTGGGGACAGGCTACCGAGGCACAGGGAGAGCAGAGCATCAGTGGGAACCCTGCACGCAGGAAAGGACTCGATGATGCTCAGGCTGAGATACAGAGCACACGGTGCTCCAGTCCCTTGCAGACACAGAGGCTTTTCCTTTCCCTCTTTGATGATCTGCACACAGGAAAACAATTTCGAATAAGGGCCTTAGGATACATGGACAACTCACGTCCAGCACAAGGTTTAATCAGTGATTATTAGGTCCAGGGGATTTTTTCGCTGTTGATCTGGATGGTATGGATATAATTAAGCACACGCTGTATAAAATCTACATTGCTAGGAAAGCATTGACTGCAGCAAGGCTGAATGCTGAGCTGGCTTTGGAGGGAGCACAGCCCTGCCATGCAGAACGGGAACACCACAGAGCTGCAAGTTGGAGATTACAGAATCCTGCCCCTCACCTGCGAGCCAAAGCCTCAGCAATGCACAGCAGGGGCCTTCCAGCCTGGGTGCAGGGAGCTCAGGAACAACAGTAACAGTTTGTATAAAAATGTCATCTAGAAAGCGTGACCTAGGAATAAAGTTTGAAAGAGCAGGGGTTGTTTAGACTAGAGAAGGCTGAAGGGGATGTAACAGCTTCAACATGCAGAAAAA